GCGGCCACAGAACAAGAACATAGGGTTCTAAATAAGGACTGAACGCAGATAGCCGTTACTCTCTGGCGCCTATTATTTTGACAAGCCTTCCATGAAAGGCACTTTTTTTTTTCTCACCTGGAACATAGGGTTGAAGTATCAAACCGCCCGTGATGTTGCGAGCGAAATAGGATATCACCCGAACATCTCGGTGTTAATAATCGCAGGGAAGATGAGAAATGCAGGGCATGTCTTATAGCTCAGCCTCCAGCGAGCACTCATCGCCTTTCCTCATGCTTTGGCTGTGCGTGCATTCTTGAGGTTTGCAAGATGCCTAAGCATTGCTGAATGGAATGCGAATGGCTGGGTGTGTCTTACAAATGTCCCGCCTCTACGCGTTGCCGAAGGTAGGAAGCTCTCTTGCTGGAGGCAGGGCAACTGAGGCTTCTCATAGCCATTCTCATCTTGTGAGGGACTTAGTCATTAAACCATTTTAAAAGTGGCAGTGCTACACCATACAATAAAGGTTTTTACAAAAGCAATTTGTAATTGATCTTGTCAAAAGCTAGTTATAAATAGAAAGAAAAAATATCAACTTGCTTCAGTGAGAAAAACGGATGGTGCCTTGTATTCAAGTTTACAAAAACATTTCTACTGACAACCTAAAAAAATTCCATTGAATGGTGCTGTTTTTAACTGGAGTAAAGAGACCCATGTCTGTGTACAACTATCTATAGTCCGTTGCAACCTAAGGGCGAGGGTAAGATGGGCCGGGGAGGAGGAAGCAGACGGAACGCTGGAGAAGAGAGGGGGAAACCTCCTTCTCTCTTTAGTGTTCCGCCTGCTTCCTCCTCCCCAACCCGTCTTACCCTCGCCCTTCGTTCTTAGGTTGCAACTGACTATAGACTCTTTCAAAGCTTATATTAAAGACCCAGGCAGTGACTGTCTACCCTAGATATATCACCATCGTCCTTCACTGGTGCTATGAGACCTCTTCCACAACAATGAAAAATCACAACTTCTCGGAGATGAAATGCAAGCTTTAAAGGGGCCCTGCAAGGGCTTTTTGACTGGTTTTTCATTTGCACCGAACCTGAGCGCACTGAACGTAGTCAGTGCAACTTAATTAAACTTTTCTTTTCTCGAATTTCGCTTTATTTTAAAAGTTATAGGCAAATTAAAATTACAAGAACAAGCAAAACATAACCTTTTTCATGACGTCCTTGGTCGCTCGAGTGGCCATGAACTAGAAGAGAGCTAAGTGAGCTCAGCGAGCGCTCCGTGTCAACAGCTCGAGAGGGCGCCATATAGCATGTTCTGGAAAGGCTGTATGAAGCGGGCAGCCAGGGGGGCTCGCATTGCATTTGCTGCACGATTAAACACTAATTCGGCATGACACTTCATTGGTCACAAACGACAGCAAACACGGGGTAAAGATCAGTTCAGAACGGGAGCCACTTCGCACTGCCATACCGCCAAAGGGCCAAACCGCAAGCCAAAGCTGCTCGCCGAAGGCCTTTGAAATGCTCGGAACCGGTCGGATTTTCGACTGCAGCGCCGCCGCATACACCCGAGATCTTTCTACGCTTGCCCTCGTCATTGCCTGATCCCACTACACCTTTCTAGTATGCGCCGCCTTTTCCACCGCTTGGGTGGCGGGTATGTCAAAGGGTCGTTTCTTGTTTCCGTACTTTATAAACTGCATTTGTTTCTTTTCTGGTCTAAAATACTGAACAAAAACTACTTTCACAAATAATTGAAACGGTTCTTTTAGCTTTTAGCGGCTCCGACCACTAGTAAGCCCAGGACCAAAGACGTCGCATTTCGCGCGCTTTCAGCAATGCGGGTCGCCCCCGTAGGTAAAGGAGGTTTCTGCGTCGGCCGGTTAAAATATGACGCACTGACATTTAGTTACTTTCTCCGTGCCCGCTGGCTTGCCTGAACGCCAAGAGACGTGCAAACCGCAAAAAAGGTAGACGCTTAAATATGGTTGCAGGGCCCCTTTAATGAAGGGGCAAACAAATCAGTGCAGCCCTTAAAATAAAGCAAGATATAAAATCTGCACTCGCAGAACAGCCGGGCTTTAATTTCTTTATTGCTTTTAACATTTCGGTGTTAACTTGTTTGATTGCTGCAATCTTGTTAGTCAATATTACTAAAATAAAAAGATGTGCTTGCATTGACCAAAGTGTGAACATTGTTCACACTCTAACAATCTCCAGTCCTGCTTGGCAACGGTAGCAATACATGTACCAACGTTCTCAGATCTAGGTCAGTTGACAAACTTCGGAAAACGCCCGACGCCTATTTGCAGTGTGTCCGCTCAGTGGCGTCTGCCGCAGTATCAGCCTGCCCTTTGGACAGATCCAGTGGAATGTTGGATGCACATTACCTGCAGTGGAAAGTGATTTTTTTTTTGTTGTTGTTGTTCTTATAGTAAACTTAAGGCCTGCACAATACTTAAAACAGAAAGAGCGTTGTTCAAAAAGCGTTTTTCGTTGACCGCAAAGGAATTGGCACTAGGAATGCTATCCGCCCTTACCTGCTTGTGCACCGGCAACAGAGAAAAACTGGTTTAGAGTGCAGCTCTTAGGTGCCCATTTCCACGCTTCATTGCGTCGCCGTCTGCATGATCACCTTGCTGAATTTAGTGAGAAATTGAATTTGTGTTGAGGTCACGCAATGTCAATTTTTCTGCTAAATCTAGCTGAGGAACTGAATTTGTTTGTGAGTGACGTGGCATGAAGTCATGTGCCATTTAGCAGGGTTGTTTCCTCAACACCAATTCAGTTTCCCCGCTAAATATAGCGGGGAAACTGAATTGGTGTTGAGGTTGTGTGACATCAATTTCCCCACAAGATTTAGAGAGGAAACTTAAACCGCTAAATTTAGCGGGGAAATTCTTGCTAAATTTAGCAGGAAATTTAGCGAAAATTGCCTGCTAAATGGGAGGGGGAGGAGAGGGTATGGAGGGATAGGAGAGGCATAACCTCCCCTCCTCCTACTCAAGCGCTGCGCTCTAATTTCATGTTACAAAGAATTGTAAACGTCTCAATTTTTTTTTTTTTTTTTTACTGCTGCTCTTTTATGGAGCTTGTCAACCGACAGATCTAAGAAAGTTGATGTGTACGGCCCGAGCAGAGGCATCTATTTTTCCAAGCACAAGTTTTGAAACCCCCTTTTTTATTGAATTCTTTCAAGAAGACACTCCGTTTAGAGGAAATGGCAACGAATCTCCTTTTAGCAAATTTGTTTTTAGAAAAACAAAATTCACCGAACTTGACTGCTTGCTCTAGCATTTGCTTGTCCTGCCTTGGCTGATGGCAAAGCCGAGCCAGTCAGTCAGTGAGTCGCTCGCTTGGGCGGCCAGCATATTCAGAGCATGATCGACAAGTTTTTATGCATGCCACATCCCTGCTGTTTTCGCAAGAATAATTTTACATTTTGCCTGGTTTACAGCCCAAGAGAGGAGAGTGGGTGCTCAAGCATAGGTCAATATGCCTCAGTGCATCATGCTCTAGTCTTTAGCATCTTCCAGACTTGCTTATGTTAATCGAATGGATTCACTAAACGGTGCTCCTTTGCAACCGATTGTTGTAGGCTGCACCTACAACAAGCAGTTGTAAGTGCAGTACATTCTATTAGCATAAAATAAAGGCACACAGCCAAATCACCTCAATGATGCCTAGCAAGTGGCGAAATAAACTTCACTTTAACAAAGCATGTGTAGCTACCGAGACATCACATTATTCAGAGTGCAGATGCAGAGTAGCTTTCTTTTGGCCTTGGCATCATCTTCCATTGTCCAGGCACAAGCGGCACTGCCGAAAAAGACCAATAAATAAATATTCAACACGGTGTATTATTCACTTTTGTACCTGCAACATTACCGTCCTATATAGATAGTCGACAGCTGCCCCGGCAACTTTCCGGACATGCGGAATCAAAACATCTCATCAACACAAGTGCTATTCGCCACTGCCGTAAGTTGAAGAATACTTTTCAAAAAAATAAAAGTGCATCTTTCAACGCAGTGTCTAGCGTAACCTTACCCCAAGATTTCGAGTTACATCTAAGGTACCCAATATGAAAAATAAAGTTTGGTCCGACGTAACCTAATATGAAAATTAAAGCTATGACAAACAGAACCCAAAATAAAAGTTAGTTACGTCCTATGTAACCTACGCAACGTAAGTTTCGCTTTACGGCCGATGCACGACATAAATACAAAAATGTCATGACTTACTACTGCATAACATCCGATGCAGCATTCATTAGTCAGTTAAAATCTCAACTCTATCCGCACCTCCAGCTTTGTTGAGGGGGCTGGAGTGTTCCTCGCACATTGAAGCTGCTGAAACTGGGCATCCCCTCCTCTAAAACAATTTACTCAATTGTAGGTACTGGAAACAGAAAATGAACCAGTGTGTGATGGGTTTGGGAGGGAAATAAACGTGGACAAAAGGCAACCAAGCAATTTAGAAGAGACTAGACCCGCCGAGCTAACGTTCTGTACGAACAATCTGAACCTTATATACTAGTTCTTGTACAAATACAAGATACCCACGATATTCCGCGATAAGTAGCCACCAAAATTAACATACCAATTAGGCAGTTCTGTTCGTAAGTCACGCAAGTCGCCGAACTCTCCTCGCAGAACGTTCGCGAAACAAAAACGGCCATCTTGGAAAAATCAAAATAGTGATGGTGATAGCGATGGGGCTTCTATAAAAACTCAGAGAACAAATGTAATCCCTTTATCCGATATATAAAAGAAAAAAAAAAAAAAAAACTTATGGAAAACATTTACCCTAGCAAAAACTTCTTAAAATAATGGTAAAGTTTAAAATAAAGATCTAAAGTTTAAACATTTAGTTATGTTAAAATACACTTGGTAAAGTCTATAAATCTTGTTTCAGTAATTAAATGCAAACAGAACACAGACTTCGTAACCCTTCTTGCTGATAGCCTTTCCTTGCAAGCGTGAATGGTCAAAAGCCGATGCCATAATAGGCAGAAATACTGCGTAGATAGCACGCTTAGAGTGTCCAGAAAAAATTAATGGGGGATGTCTATCTTCTTTCCATAAACCTTTTCGGAGTTTACCCTTCCTGCACGTTTCACAGTAATCTGCGGCATGGATTCACCACACTGTTTTTGTGAAGTGTGGCAAAACGTATGCACCACCATAAGAAAAAAATATGACAATTTATTTAAGTACAACAGGAAGCCACGAGAGGGGAAGATGGCAAGATCCGATCCACCAAAAAGGACTGGGCCTAAGAGTGCAGTCTTGAAAGGCTTGGCCCATGAATCAGGACGATTTGAAACCTATGATGAATGCAGAGAACAAAGGGGTCGATCAGGTGAACAGTAACTAATATCTGACCCTAACATGCAGGGCAAGATCTGTTTTGTTTACCTAATATTTGTTATGCCACCAAAAACCAACGTTACTAAAACACTCAGCTAGGAAACTCAACCTTGGAACCTGGACTGCTGGCGTCCACCGAGACCAAACTAAATATGATAACAGTGCCACTCTTTAGCAACAAGTCAAAACATGAAAGTTGCCTTGCATAGCTACTCCAAGATGGCCCTGCGAGATGACACCAGTGGCCCTTCCGAGAATCTACGGAACCAGTCAGTGCAGCAGTGTAGTTCACGGAGTGGCCACCGCGGGAGAAACAGTGGCATTGCGATTGCATTTAGTTTGATTCTCTCATATGGATTGAAGCCACTTTTTCAAAGGAGGCTCCTATAGCAGTTTTCCAACCGGGTGTACTAGTCACGTTGTCAAAAACTTAATTTCTTCCTAACAAAAGCCGGCATAAGTCCATTTTTTTCTAAAAAAAGTTAACCTCGAAGGCTTCAGGGGGGGGCCGTCCCCCCCCCCCCTTCCCCCCCCCCACACAGTTTCCCCTAAAATCTGCCAAGAAACTGAGGGAAAAGTGAGGACGAGAGCAGGTGTGGATGTCAGGACACCCGAGCTCTGGTTCGAATGATTAGTGGGTACACCTAAAGCTAGGTGCCTTTGTCTTTACTGCACTCGTCAAAGACGTTCGAATGCGAGAGCCCAAAGCTGGATACCGGCGTTCTGCATTCGAATGTGTTCGACAAGTGCAGCAGAAACAAAGGCTGCCTTTGTCTCCACTGCACTCGTCGAACGTATTGGGATGCAAATGCCAAAGGCCGCCCCCGGCGTTTGGCTCTCGCACTCGAACGTCTTTGACAAGTGCAGTGAAGACAAAAACACCTAGGTTTAGGTGCCTCTGCGTTCTGATGTCCCTGCACTCTCGTCTCCCCCTCTCCATCAATTTCTCGGCTCATAGAGTTCTGAAAGTTTAACACTGGCAGTGTGCGACAGTAGGCCAGCAGGATGGCATACTCTCCCCTACATGATACGGAATGAGCAGGATCCAAGACAGACAACTCCGGACGGAACGTCCGCAGTTTACAACTCTTTGGCGGCATGCGCTAACTAGCTATCATCATCGTCGTTTTTGACGTCACGGGTAGGGCACACTGGGACAGACTGCACAGATCTTGGAACCTTCGGCTCGACAGTCAGCGTTATGCGCTGTATCGCGCAGCAAAGCCCATTTCGCGCATTGTTTTTATTTGGTGAAGTTATACTTGAAACCGTGCCACGCGTAGTCATGCTAACAAACACTTTTGGCACTAAGGTGTCGAAATGCTGGGATGGTGATGTACTGTTCTCCACCCCAGTACAAAAAGATGGACGATTAAAATAGAATATCCAGCGCTTTACCCCACTACAACATCTAGCTAGCATGGCGAATAGGGTGTATTTATTTTATTATTATTCAGACAAAATAAAGCTGAGAAAGAAATGTCTCATTAAATTGAAAATAGGAAAGCGAAATTCGGGAATCTCTAACCTGTGTAGTAAACACTTCAGTGAAAGCGACTCCGTGTATCTTGGTGGTTCCGATGTGTTTTGTAAGTGCTGATTTCTTATTAGTCCCAAGTTGATTCATTTTTGGTCTTTTTAAACCAGTAAACAAACATTTCCTCAAAACAACTGGCATTGACGGTGGCTGGCTTCCAGAGTCGTCTCAATGAAATCCCTGCTTGTTCACTCGATCGATGTGAAGCATGCGAGACCCCCTCGCGACCGAAGCCTTAAATTTAGTAAGTCGGTGACAATTAGCATCCCAAAAAATTAGGTATACACCTGCTATGAATTCCTACCGTTTGTATGTTTAATTTTTCGGTCCCAATTGCGCATAATGTGTGATGCGCTTTTCAGCGAGCAATTTTACATTTGTAAACAATTCTTAGTAAAAATTGGATAGAACTAATTAATCGATCGCCTGAAATTGCCGCGATGTGACAAACTTCTTTGCCGCGTATTCGATGCGGGAGGAGCTAATCCGTCAGTTGCTGAAGAGCATTAGCTCGTCAGCAACTGCGGTGTCGGCGAAATAGCAGCGGGCGGTGTCGTCACGTGAAACGTCACATACCTTGGTAGTTGCCAACAGATGGGCTTGCAAAACGCTGTTTTCACCAACCAAAAAAAAAAAAGAATCTAGTTGCTATTGTTATTATTTTTTGACCGAATGTAAACAGCAATGGCCGCGCTGATGCTTGTTGGAAACGCATGTGCCCAACTTGCCGGACGAGTGTACTGCTCCACTTTTCGTAATTCTGGGTTCCAAACTGGCTCATGTGACGAAAAAATGTTGCAGATCACATAGGGTTATTATAATGTACGCTAGAGGTTCAAGTGGCGCTAGTGTGCCGACGCAAGTTGAAGCAGACAGCAACCAGTCGAAAATTGACTTCCGGTAATGCATTTCTATGGGTAAAAAAAAAAAATGGTGCAAAAACGGCTTCGCACGTGTATTTATGTGCACTGTCGGACACTCTCAGCGCGAACACGACGTCGGCGCTTTCTAGCATCGCTGATATATGTGCCAAACGAACGAAGGTATCTGGAAATTAAGGGAGACGGCCAAACATACTGTCGAACCCGGTTATATCACACCCGTATTTCGAATTATTGTTTATATGAAACAGTCCAAACATCCCCTAGAAAATTGCATTGTTTTTCTGTATCGAATGCCCATAACTCCCATGGAGGGGACACTCGATGTAGGGAACAAAGACGAAGGCGGTTCTTCGCTTCTCCCTATAGGTCGGATTGCGCCGGCCGGGAGCACATAGCTCGGGTTGCGGGGCTGGCAGACCGCCAAGCCAGCATACGCGCACCCGGGAATGCGCACGCGGGGATGCGCAGCGAAAAAGCAATTGTATAAAAATTAAAAAAAGCAACCAATAAAAACAAAAGAAGTGGAGGATGGCAAAAGCAAGGGGAAGGGCACCTGCGCGCGTGGGGAGGGCAGGGAGTGCCCGCTGTTGGAACGGTCGCGTGCGCTCATTTTCCCAAACACCGCTGTCACTGTGTGACTCCTTACCCCCCCAAAAAAAAAAAAAAAGATTTTGTCAGGTGGAGTGTTTTGACAACAAGGGTTGAGCAATCACACTTTGAACGCCTTATGTTTGTTTACCCTTTCCTTTCCCCGTTATTGCTCCCGTTTCCGGCTTGAGCGGCGTCACCGTCAGGTCTCAACACCCCCCCCCCCGAGGTCACATGACCAGACCTGGGGGGGTCACGTAAACCTCAGTTTACCTTTTTTTATACTTTATTCGCTATCAATTTTACTAACCACTTCGTTCTGTTTTCTTTTTAAATCTAATAAAAGTTACTCGCTATCATCAAAACTGTATTGTGTTGTTATTTTATTTTATGACATGCTTTTTAGAGAGTGACAGCATCTAGCGACATGGTGTCCGCCCATCTTGACCTAAAACAAAGTTCTGTGTCACTCAGGGAATTTCACAAAAGTACTCAGGGGAAACCTGAAAAACTCAGGGAATTTGAAAATGCCAACTTGGTAGACACATTGAATAACTCTATGGCAGATCACTACCTCAAACTTTCGTTAATGCGGGACTGCTTTTTAAAAACTCTTTGCTGTTGAGAGGGTGCAAATGCATTGAACCCTATGGACGTTCGCTGGGGCCGCCAGATTTCTTCGTTGCCGCGAGAATTTCGTTTTTGAAAGGTTCAACTGTATTAGCAAAATACGAATCTAAATTAATTTATCCCACCCAAAATAAATTCCATGGCTCCTTATTAAACACTGTGATTTTATCCAAGCCTCGGGTAAAAACAGTTTAGCTTTCTCGGCTCCCGATTGGACGCGTCGCAGGTTTCTGCCGGGCAAGCTTTGTCAACTAACGTCCCAACTCTTTAGCCCCGCACACATGGTGAGAGATATCTCGCAGTGGCTGATGTTCGTTCTGAACCTTTCTTTATCCACCGGTGTATTTGGACGTCTGTACGGCAACAAAATGACTGAAAACTTGCAAATTAAGCACAGGTTGTGGATTGCTTGCTTTATAGAATAGCAGACACACAATTCAAGCTCGTGTCCGATTTTGTTGCTCGTGGGACGTCATTTTTTTAGCAGAAATTCACTTTTTCTGCAGTTCTACTGTCCCGCATGGTGGACAAACCAGTCATCTGCTCTTGTTCCCTGCCTAAGTGATGCATGACGGGAGTGCATTCAGGTACACACTTAATTCTCAGGGTGCAGCGAGTGCATGCACGTGTGGAGTGCCGGCGGCGAAACAAACTCACTTCATGTTGCGAGTGGCTGCGCATGGGCACGAGTGCAGCGAAACAAACTCGCTATTAGTTTTCACATGTGGTCATGCACTGAGCACGAGCATGTAGCTTCGTCTTGCATCTTGTTCGCATGCAGAAGTTGCTTCGACGGCGTAGCAGAAATTACACTAGCCTTGACAATAAAGAACAAAGAGGCTTACGCCGAGCCTAGACACTGGTGCAAAAGACGGCCGAGCCAGAAAACCTAAGCCAAGTCGCCACAAAATTATGTTTCGAAATGGCTGAATAGGCAAGACTGAACTGCCACCAAACATGTTCTGTTGTAGAACACAAAAGTACATCCCCTGACACGAGCGTCCAAAATATACTTACAATGGCTAGCGACGCCTCATAAAGGTCATGCAGTGACCCTCTGCTTGGCCGATTAAGCCACACGCAGTGCCGTGCAGAGTACAGGACGACGCCCGTGAGCCAGCCGGTGCGGTGACTCCGGGCCTGCCCGTAGTGTTCCGCTGCTACCTTGGACAAGGCGAAAGCGAGCTCATCGATGCCATGATCCCCGGGACCTGTGGTGTATAACTATTATGATTAAAAGTCTTACAGTCGCCGACCAATGTCACTTAGTCAAATGAAAATGAAAGAAGCGAGATGTCTTCTTCCACATTTTGCTGTTCTCTATTTTTGTTCCTTTTACATCTCTAGTTGTAAGATCAATGTTGACCAAGTTCTTTTTTGTTATCAACTTGTTCGCATTAAAATCTAAAATTTTACATCAGGGTAGAGTTGTAAAACCAAGAGGGGCTCCCAACACACGCATGCAGCCCCCCCACCCCACTTCATGGGGGTTGTCCTACGCAAGTATGTAGCTGCGCTGTAGAGAAGCATGATACACATGATCTACACGGACTTTTAGCTGCATTCTTCCATGAATCTAATGTCCGCCTGGCCGTATAACTTATAACTGTCATAACTTTCACTTTTTCTTTGAAATCTGTAAATGTTAAAAAAGAAAACCTGTATAACCATAGCTAAAAAAAATCTGACACTTGAATTGCTAAAAACAGTTTGGGGACTTCCAAGAGCGATTATTGCATAAAACAGCTTGTCAATGGTCAGAGCCTAGCAAAGCTCAACCAGCATGGCACTGCCAACAGCGCTGATGTCACTTGCATGACACATCCACATGCCGTGCCAATCATACATGGAACGCATGAAAGCATGGCGGGCAGTCCATGCAGCGTTGACTGTTGGTGGCTGCGGAAGCTCGGCGCAGACACAGAAGCACCAAAGGCAGAGGATGGCACATGTTTTCTGTTGCAGCAATGTCCTTTTGCTCGGCACACCGCCAAAAAACATTTCGGATTGGCGTTCAACATTTCTAATGGTAATCGTCTTATCTGTATGTACTTGGCCGAAAGAACCGTGAGGACATTGAGAAAATCGTGTTCCGCAGTCAATTTACCTGCCCTTCGTAGTACACTATGTACTGGCGCGTGACGTTGCTCTGTGTTCCTAGTATTATATTTCTCTTTTTTAGATGGCTGCAAAAGACGAGGACAAAGACATTACAGCAGCACTGCCAATAGTTTCTCCATGTTGAGTGCTGAATTCCTGTGAAGCAGGATACGTTTCTCAAACCTTGCTGGCGCCATGGCCACAAAACGAACAAGTGATATCAATGCATGCCTTTTATATGGTCGGTGACAACTCAAGAAGGTAGGGGAAGAAAAAGGAAGGTGGGAGAGGACGAGATGGATGCAGCGCCGGCGAAGGGAGAGGGTTTGACCAGCATTGTGCCCGCTTCCTCCTCTCCCACCTTCTTTTCCCTGACCCTACCTCCTTAACCTACAACATAGTTCAAATCAAACTGCAAAATTTCTTCGAGGCTCGAGAGTGAAAGCAGCTTCTCAGGATGTATTTTGTGTGAATACCATTTAGCTGAAGTACATTGTTTTTGTGGACTCAAGGTACGTGGCTAAAAAGTCAATGCCAGATGCCAGGGATCTTTGTGAGAAAAAGAACACTTAAAAGATATCCTCGGCCGCAGTTGGCTCTTTGAGTCACATATTTGACGATAGGTATTGTTAACACATATTTATGTGAACACCAGGATGCTGTTTTGATGGTAACATACTAAATGGTGATAAAAAAAAAAAAAAACAAAGCTGGGAGTAGAAGCACATTATCTACCTTTCCCTACCAAAGAACAATGAAACGATTAGTCACCTGCTCAGGACTTTGGTCGTCTGCTTAGTTGTGGGCGACGCCTCTGCGAGCATCAACGACAGCCCCCATTCTAGCGTGCAGAGAGCCATACAGTGCTTCTGTAAAGGATGCCTTCACCATCAGACTTTTAACAGAGCGGTCACTCCTTTTTTTTTCTGCGCACCGAACGAAAGGACGGTACAGTAGCAGACGACGCCAGCGTGCACGGCTGCTGGCGTCACTGCGTGTGCTCCAAGCTTCCGCGGGTGCTTGCGGTCCTCGCTGCATGGAGCACTGGCTACGCACTCGCGTGCTCCCTTCAAGATTGGACTGCTTAGTGCACCGCTAGGAAAAGCAGTACAAAACATACCGCGACGATGCATCAGGGGCATGCACTGGTCCCCTGAAGTGTGCTTCGAACCATGTGCAGTGCAGGGTGCAGCACAGCATCCGCGTGAGTCAGCCGCGGCAGTGATTCGGGGCTCGTAGTGTTCTGCGGCTGCCTTGAAAAAGTGAGGGCCAGCTCTTCGCACCTCCTCTGAAAACTGTTTTACAACAGAGAGGTCAGTTATCTCCCTGCCTCTCATTGCCTTTCTGCTGTCCTGTCCTTTGTTCGAGAGCAATCGCTGCTATATTGTGTCTCAGCACGATCACCTTAGTCATACAAAGGAACGTGCAGATAAAGATCATTATTATTAAAGCACGTTTTACCTTCACATTCAAACTTCGGGCCTCCTGCTTTCTCCTCGCGTGTGGCGGCAAGCGTCTGTTGAGGCTACCATGCTTCGAGACGATCCTCGCGTGGTTCAGACCTGCGTTAGATTTTTTTTTTTTTTTAATTACGCCCTGGCAGCTCGTTTAAGCGCCTCTCGGCGTGTTCCCGCGCAGACAGTGACAGGCGAAGCATCAGATTCTACGCTTACTTCGTTGGGCCTTCCTGTCTCGTTGAAAAACTGGATCGAAGTCTGTGTCGATGGCATGCAATCATTGCTATAGCGACTTATTGAGCACTTGCGGTCATACGGAAGCTTCCAAAATTGTGAGCGCGCTCCTAAGCCTTTGCGGAGGGCTCTGCTAGCCGTCACGTCCGCATGTTCTACCGAACGATTTCGGGCGAGCGGTTGGTAAAGGCAGCTCAAGAAACAAGTCGACACGTTGAGCGCACGAAACCCAATTCAAATCCGCTTGGATGGCATCAGCATTCAGCACCGACCGACCATTCCCGCCATTTCTGGTAGCGCCTTTGTTCCCGGACGCACCGGACTAAATTATGTCAAACGACTCCAAACGGAACTGAAGCACTAAAGTGCGGTGAACACTCACCTTTATGAATACCTCCTGTTCTTGGTGTTCTTGGAGATGTACGAGAGGTATTTGGCGGCTCTGGCGGTTCGCGATCGACGCCGGCACTCATCCGGCGAAGCTGAGTGCATACATTGTTTTTGTTGTCAACGGCTGCCACTGCGCACGGTCAACCTCGTTCCACTCGAGAACTTGAGCTGCTTCAGCTGGTTATCGACGGTTAATACGTCGCCACCCAACACCTGAACGTAGAACGAAAACAAAAACATTGCCCCCGCGGCCGAGGGCGCCAAGGCGGAACAGAACGGAACCGTACCAGCCAAAATTAAAAAATCAAGCAAGGAAAATAAAAAAAAAAAAAAGTAAAAACAAACAAAAACAAGAAAAGTACCTTTTTATATATTTTCACTTTAAAACGTTATCTAAAAATCAACAAAATAACAAAACCGGAAGTGACGTCATTTTTTTTCAGCCAATCGGCGTTTCCAGTTTTACTGCCCCGAAACGCTTGTCTTCGGAGCAGAGTAGCGCAATCTAGAACGCCGTCTCTCGGCGACTAGCGGCGAACGCCCGGAGGTTCCAACTGCGGTCAGAAATGCATGGAGAACGTGAGAAAATCGTTGTTTCTTCAGTTTTGTGGGGATGTGCGGAATGGAAATCATTTTTGACATAATAATGAAACATTTTAGAATAATATGCGATAAGTTTTGTGCCATACAAGGACGTAACTTTTTTTAAAAAATTGCCTGAGCGGCATCATGCAGCAGACGACACGGCGACGTCACACCATTCACGTGACCCGCTCCGGCCAACCCGAAAAGCCCATCTCCGCTGCGAGCAAAAATCGTCTGCTTCAAACGCCATTGCCTTGGAAATTGCCTTCTCAAAATTTGCACACGCATCCGATATTATTAAAACTTTGATAAAGTGTTTAGCGCTTTACTAACTTCACGACAGGCTAGTTTTGAAAAATGTGAACTCGCCACTAGTTTTTTAGTCAGCCGTGTTCTGTCGATCTCCATGTATTCTCCCATAGGGCGGGCCGCCTCCTGGAACCCTGAGTACCACGTGACTCGCGCCGAGCCGCTCTGTCGGCCATGTTGTCGGCAAAACACGGGGTTCAAAGGATTGCGCTACTCTGCTCCGTAGGAGCTATATAGTGCTCTAATGTCCCCAAGGTCAATTTGATGGCCCCACGACTGCTAGATTAATCTCGTTTTCAACCCTCTGAACAAAAAAAAAAAAGGATCTAAACGCTGAACGTAAGCGGCGCATAACTACAGTGTACTAGAATACGGGGTAGTGTTTGGACCGGAGCCACGGCGAGGGCGCGCTCGTGTAGACAACAATCGCGGCGCTGCAGTCGACATAGGGGCAGAGCCCTTTATAAAGGGCTCTGCATAGGAGGGGCTTTCATACGTGCGCGCGCACGCGATTTCGAATTTCGATGCGCCGGTGTCGGCACCTATTGGGCAGGAGATCGAACTATAGGGGGCGCTCTGACCTGTTTGTTTTGTAAAGTCATTGGGTTTTAGAGACAGCGAAGGGAGAGTGGATTTCAAGACTGTAGAGATTACCAAGCAAAGATTAAGTGAATGGTGGCAGAAATCGAGAGAAAACTAGGTATTTTCTTATTCACTGATGGCAAGGGGGTTTCATAGCCTCACTTTCTTTGCACTGCGGAGTGAATATAGATTTCACATTTAAATAATCTAAGCTTAAATGGTAAAACAAAATGGCTAGGTGGCGTAAGCTACCGCCCGATCCAAAGGGCTCAGCCGTATTCATCCATCCATCCATTTCCCCACACTCGGTGTTTACTCAAGACAAGATGTGCACATGCCGACAGGCCTTATGGGCATGTCCATGTCATCTTCTACAATAGAGCGCGGGGCAGTTTAATGTAAAAATATTACTAAAAATCGACGAAGTGACGTTAAATGCAGGATCTATCCTCAGAAAATGCAAGCTTGACCCACTTCGGCTTTTGTGCTGAGCTGGGACCGTGCATGCTGCATTGTTCATGCAGGCCGTAGTGGAAACAAAAGAGCCCCTCCTCCCCCTCACCGGAGAACACGAACGCTGACGCCGCGTTCGGTTATGTCGGCCGAGCGCTGAGTCATTGTATTTGTTGTCCCCATCCGTGTCGTTGTAAAGTTAACCGCTTGGGGCGTCACGGTCCGTCCTCCTCCCAAATCGCAATCTACGCCACATGCTTCATGCTTCATGCGAGCCGCTCTATACTCCGCGACAACTTTTCTTGGCAATGCAGTGGAAGGTACAGGCCCGCGTCCCCTCTCCCATTTTGAGTGTACAGGCTCTCCTCCTCTCCCCGGAGCCTGTGTACACTCAAAATGGGAGAGGGGACGCGGGCCTGTACCTTCCACTGCATTGCCAAGGAAAGTTGTCGCGGAGTATAGTCTCAACACTACCCCGTATTCTAGTACACTGTAGCATAATGTGCGAGTGAATAAAAAAATCAAGCAAATCATTATCATAAAGCATCTTGAAAAGACATGCAAAGGAACAAACTAACGAATTCTGACTCATGCAAAAATGTCTAAATCCGAAATATCCCCTTTCCAATCAAATCACAATAAAAAAAAATAAAAAAAATTGCTTTGGCCTTGCTAATTTTGCCCATTTTTTTTTTCTTTGCAATTCCTTAAGCCAAGTGATTTTTTTTTTTTTTTAATGTTGTTATTTAGTTGGCTAACTGTGGAGGTTAGGGCCCCACGACCCAATAAGAGGGCTGGAGCGGAGCACGTGACTCGATTTGTGTCGCCATGCCAAATGTGAGGCGCAAGGCCCAAAGGAAGCGGCTGTTGTCTGCTATCCAAGAGTCGTCTGCTCCAAAACCAACACACTTTGGATGAACGTCTACCGCAGCAACATATCCGACTGCTAGAGTAGCGAGCACTTCGGGAACAGTTTATGAGACAACCATATGCTCAATTTAGGCGCGAATCTGTGACGGGTGCTAATGCCAGGGCACAGTGTGATGTTTTGAACAGAAACGGCCTCTTCCACAGCTGCGATCGCCAACGGCCATGGCGCAACAAGGCGAAAAAAGGCTCGAGGTACACCTAAGCACTTCTTATGGGTTGTGAATGCGAAAGCATGCACGTCGCTCTTCCGCTCTCTTCTTTCGTCTGCAGCGACAATCGAGTGCATGTGCTGTCCTCGGCAAGCTGACCTTGGGCGGGGAGCGGTGGAGCCGCTGCCTCGCGGACACGCAGCACCATGGGGCGGAGGTCGTTGAAACTGACGTGGAACGAATAATGGGAACCCCGTCAACGCGCACCAGCCAATGGGGCCGAAGCCGAAATCCATCAGTTTTACTCCGCTCCTTTGGGATCGGGGAAACTAGGTGCCATTTGGCTAGGCGTTTCGCATGGTTTCATAGCTGGGAACTGGCTTCCCTTGGAGACAGGATTTAAGGTGCCGTTAGGCGTAGTTTCAAAGCGGATGACGTCAGCTCGCTTTATGGGACCAGCCAATGCTTTCGCATTAAAAACCGAGCGGATACGGATGTGGTGTTGCTTGTTTGGTTTAAATATTATTCAAAATAGATTTGATTATTTATTCTTTTAACTTCTAATCTTTTCGTTATTCATCGAATCATGCGAATTCAATTGCCATTAAAAGAAAAACAAGCTTAGAACTACTTTTTGTCGCAGAGGGCTTTGTTGCTGTGGTGGTAACAAGGCCCAATTGGCCTCGATCATAAAGTGTTATCACGTGCCTTGCTCCGATGCCTTTATTCGGTCGCGGGGGCCGCAGCCTCCACAGTTCGCCAAGTTATTGTGGAACGGAGTATAGTTAGAGCAGTAAGTGTGTGTAGAACTCTGGTCCAGCTAAGAGCCGGTTCAGCTCACTGATCTCTATGAATCGCACATCCCCACTTGGATGCTGCAGCACAAATGCGGCCACCTTGGGACAAAAAAAATCTACCCTTTTGGAGTGTTGCAGAGGCTGTGTAGCAGTGTGCTGAAGACACATTTTCTGCTCGTTCGTCGTCATTCGCCGAAGAAGTTCGTTAAAACCCCACGTAAATGATGAGAATTGCCTTTGAGAACACATGAAAATTTTTACTAACATGCAGCACTGCAGAAGAAAAAGCGCAACTCGTTGAACGCATGTCTTGTCGGACTCGCAGCATGATGAAAGCTTCCTTGGCATGCCAAAGTGCTGTCTTAGTGCGTTAGCACAATTGGATACCAATCAAGAATCGACACCATGTGGATGTGTTTCGCAAGTGCAACGTGCTTGATGACGCAAGCGCCTCTGAACAGTTTTACTTTACTCTGTCGACTTTATTTGTAATTTGCGGCACTCGCGATCCAGAAACGAGCTTGATCCAGTGGCGACGGAAGAGGGGGAGCTGGGGTACGGCGGCAGCGACAGACTGCAAACAATCATATGGGACGCGTTGAAAACAAATTCTATCACGCCGTTTCTCATTTGTGCGCTCTAAAACCTATCTTGCTCCAAAGCATTGCACTATTTCTGCTGCCATGTAATTCATTCGAGTAGATTTAGAATGTAACCATGATTAATAGTGCATAATAGCAACCATGCACTTTTCCTTTATTGATAGCAACTCGCCGGAACAGCTGGACGATACAGAACTCCCTGACCGAAATATCATGCAAAGACATCTACATGTGATACACCTTCAAAACTTTGCGATTCTTAATAGGTATTCATGTGTACGGAGGCACAGAGATGCAGCACTTCTGCTTGCTAAAGCAGCTTTGATCATGCCACGAGACCGACTTGCATTCGACAAGTTGTACCTTTTTTCTGCATTGCTGCATTTTCGTAAAAATTTCAATGTGTTCTCAAAGGCAACTACAACCATTTACACAAGGTTTTGAAAAACTTCATCGAATGATGGTAAACGAGCAAAAAACATGTCTTGAGCATGCTGCCGCCCAGCCTCTGCAAAGCTCCAAAAGGTTGACTTCGGTACATGCAACATGGCCGTCCGGTGGCAGCACTTGCTCTGCAGCGACCAAGTGGGGATCTGCGATCCAGCAAATTGTCACTGAAATAAGTGATCAATACCAACTTCATTAATTGCAGTAGGTTTCGCCGAAATCTTGTTCTGCCCAAAGAGGAGGAATAGACCCTTTGCATAAGTCCTAAAAAGGCCGTGCGTGCTGCGTGAGCAATTTTCGGAGTCCTCGGTACGCCCCACCCATCGTCTTTTCTCCTGCTACCACGCGACACACGCGATCAGGCGCAGGTTACAAAGGCAACAACGCTGAAGCGACGGAGTCGAACCGCCAGACGAGCAACAATCGCACAGAAATGAGGGAGAGGGTGTCGCATTGGCCAGACTGTGAGGCTGCCCCTTTCTCATCCTCTCCTTTGCACCAGCTCCGTCGTCTGCTAGACCAATGTTTTGTCAAACCTAGTCAAATCCTGCCACGGCTGCGGTGCAAAATAAGTAGATTCGGTGACACTGCGAGACGTGAAGGTCTGTCAAAGTCTGCCCAATGGCACAACTCAGACAAGAGTCAACCTAGGTACCACAAGGAGCACAAATACGGCACACTGCCAACAATGTTTCGGCAGATGGCCAGGATGGCGGATGGCTGCGCCGGCTGCTGCTGGTGGTAGCTGCTGCAACTCATGCACAGTCGCGGAGATGGAACGAGAAAGTGCGTGATCAATACCAAGGGTTCCCAAAATCCCCTGCCGTCGCGGAGGTGTATGTATTGCAAAATGTTTATTGGAACTGTCTGCAATGACCTTTACTGTCTTTGCCATAGATGCAACCTGTGACAATAACAATGTTAGACGAGAACGGAACACTTTCACACACTGTATTCTGAGCACAGTACAGGACATTTTGACGTCATGCAGTTGATACTCAGCAGCAAAACGGCTGTAATAAAAGCAAGCAGAACATATCGAACATTATGACCTCCATTGAGCTACAAGCAAGTTCTACATACACAGCTGTAGTTCTAACGTGACAGAGACACACAGTAGCAGCAGCATGGAATCACCTTGGCTTTGGGCCCAGGCTTGTTTGAGCACCTTGCAGCTTCATCATATGGGAAATGCCTTGCTCAGTTGTGTGCGAGAGCTGGACAAAGTGCAAGATAAACCGTGATGGAACAAAAATTCTTTTAAGCCTACATCATGTACCCTGTTGATTGGTTAGCAATAGTTTGATAATTAACGAAGTAAAGCAGCCCACATAGTGAAAGAGTGAATGGATAAATAAAATGTGTACGGCATATGTACAAATAGTGACATCTGGAGACACTACACAACAAAATTGTAGTGCGAAAGCAAAACATGGTTTCCGAAAGAGCCTACATAAAGTATTTGGTCATTTGCACAAAACATATTAGTCAGATAAATATGCAGGAAACGTAGAACAAGTAACCAGAGAACTCAGTATGAATCAAATAAGTGACAAATGTTTTAAAAGAGAGATCATATTTCAGCGTCATCTAATGTTTGAAACGGATATTGCAGATGGGTGGTGCCAACTGCAATGTACTAGTTCCAACAAAGAAACTAATTTGAAGAAATTACAAAAAGGTAACATGTTTGCTCGAATGATCTATAAATTATAACCCCTCGGCAAACGTTTGTGTAGGATGAACATATAACCTAAGGGCCCCGCGTGCCGGATGGTCTAGCTATGGCACTGAGCAGACGTACGAGAGTTATGGTGTTCTTCGCTGTACAGTTACCTCTTTATTTCTTTCAGTTCCCCCCCCCTTCCCCCCCCGATGGTGTCAAAAGACTACCACTCTGTACAAGGCACTTAGTTCAGTACTAAACATCCTCATGAAATTCGCATCTCATTGTCACGAGCCGTCTGCGGCGTGCCGAAGCCAGGCATTCTGAGGATTCACACAGAACCCCGAAATGTGTAGCAGCTAGAAGCTTCTATAGGTCTCGTCACGGTGGCATTGAACCACAATAGAGCAAACTACCTAATGTCTGGAATGTCCAAGTTTTGCATCGGCGCACATCTTTAACTTCTTTCACTAGCCACTAAAGGCCGCCATTAGAATGTACAGATGATGTACAGTTAGATGATAGTTAGTGGCTAGACTGGATTTCGAAAAGGATTTGTAATGACCCAAGCACCAGGCAGACGAGAGCCCCAAACGTCGGCTACCTAGCGTGCTTTGCCTTGATGTGCTGCACCATCGCCGACTTGGAGATGAACGCACGGACGCAGTGGTCACACCTGTACGGACGCTCGTCCGTGTGAGTCCGAGAGTGGTCCAACAGGTGATGCTTGCGGGCAAAGGAGAGCGAGCACATGTTGCACTGGAACGGCTTCTCCCCGGTATGGATACGCATGTGGTCAGAGAGCTTCTGCTTGCGGATGAAGCCCCTGCCGCACACCTGGCACCGGTAAGGTTTCTCACGCGTGTGGCAGCTAATCATGTGGTCTGTCAGGCTGCTTTTGCGCGCAAAGTCGGACGGACAGAGGTTGCACACAAACGGACGATGGCTGGTGTGCGTGGTCAGGTGCCTGTCAAGGCTGTGCCTGAAGGGGGTGGAGTACTTGCACAGCCGGCACCGGAGCATGCCGCCCGCCGTGACTTCTGCGGGGCCCTCGGAAGACAACGAACGGACCCAGTCGCCCGCTGTCCCGGAAGAAAAGTGCAGTTGAATTAAGCACACGAGTTACAAAAATGGTATGCCTGCTTACGGTAAAGCAGCGAGCATGCACCTCTGTTGTAAAAAGTGCCCACTCCCTTCTCTTGACTGTCGCAGAAAGAAAGAAAACTGAGCCAAGGCACACAAGTTAAAAGGATAGCACGTCCGCTTACCATATAACACTTAGAGCATGAGCGCATGCTACAATAAGTGCCCACCGCTACTTGTGACTGTCTCAGAAAAGTTTGCCAAGGCACACAAGTTAGAAGGCTAGCATGTCTGCTTACTGTATAACAAATAGAATTCCGTGTTTTCTGATAAACCCGGAAAACTCCGAAAAACACTCTCCGGTCAAATTTTCGTCAATTTGTATTTATCCAAAAAACAATATCGAGGTCATGATGGCAAAATTAAAATAAAAGACGGTATTTTATGATGTAAGCTCTTCAGGGCACAGGGTTAGTTGTTCCTAAGGAGTTGCCACATCAGTTGTTTTCTTGTTCCTCTTTTAATCTAGGATTATTAAAAAAAAAGGGAGTTTCCTATTTATCTCATCAGGGTTCGTTCAGTACAACTTATAATTACAACGGGTCACCAAACTACTGAACAAGGACAAAAGCACTGTCCGATTACCAGTTTGGGCAATACTAATGAGTTCCTTAGATAGAGGAGGAGCTGTGTTTTTATAAGAGGGAAAGATATGAAACCAGTAGACTTCACAAGAAGGGTAGAGCAGCTGAGGCATTTATGCTTCCCAACGACTATGTCCAGGAGATTAGCTATTTCAAAGTACCGACGTTTATTAAAGTAACACTCGTTAGCAAGATTTGTCGTGATGCAGTTAGTACTGTCAATCGCAAGGGTGCCAATGCCGAATGCAGCTGCAGAAATATCTTTCGATACCGGAGTGTTTTCCTAAATTTAAGGTATGTTTTTATCCGAACGTTCATTTCTATAATGAATTTTGAAATACTGGGACACAATAAAAGTAAACTCCGAATTTCGAATAACTTGGAATATAATAAAAATAAACTCCGATAAACCCCAAATTCCCAGTGAAAAATAAACTCTGAAAACGTGGAACCCTACAGATAGAATGTGTGCCCCTGCTCCAATAAGTGCCCACCCCCACTTCTGACTCTGTATTAGAAAAGTTAAGCCAAGGCACACAAGTTACAAGCATAGCAGGTCTGCTTACTGTAAAACACAGAGCATTACGTGCTTACGCTTGTGCAAAGCGGTAAAGCTTGTATGACATTACCTGCACGAGAAGGGTTTGAAAAGAGCAGCACAGCCGCTCTAAAATTGAGGGGTTCGGACAGACCCCTGCATTGCTCCTATACCATACTGCCAGAACGAACGAGGACCGAGCCTCTTCTGCTTTTTTGCCCTCGGATCTAAGAAGTGCACATCTCCACTTCCTTTTGTGACCATCTCCAACACTCCGGTGGGGCAGGTAACAGCTATTGGAGAGTGTCACCAAGCCAGGCGCGGCCTGGCAGTGAAAGCATGAAGCAGACCCAGCAGCTAAAGATACGTATGAAGCTAGGATTGCACATTACAGCCCTCATAAAAGTGCTAAGAACAGGGAGTACCAAAAATATGGTTCTTAATAATTTGACAAGTGGCAGAATTGTGACAAGACACAAAGAAAGGAGACTTTCACATGTCAAAAGCACATCTTAGCAACTGGCAATGTTTTTTTTTTTTTAATCCCTTAATTTATGAATGTGCAGATTTTTATATTTTTTACACTGGTGTAAATTTAGCTTCCAGATTGCTCATTCAAATATATAAAAACAACCCCTCTACTCATAAGTACTACAGCCATTCAGGCTACCAGCCTCATCATTATTAGCAGTATTTATTTTTAAACAGTTTTAAAAAATAAACAGTAGCAATGTTTAAATCACAACTATTTTGTGTGTCATCTCATGCAGCAACTCAGTATTACGCAAATGGTAAACAACTTTGTGGGTTTCAAGTTGGAAGTATTAAGGACATCTATTAAATCACAAAACCGAGCACAAAATCTTAAGGCTGTATTTGCTTATGCAGTAAGCTGGGCCTCATGAAAAGCAACAGGCCCATGCAGTAATCCAGAAAAGTTGAATGCAAAAGAGAAACTTAATATTCCAACTTTAGATAAGATTGACACAGATCGAGACATTTTATGACAGCTGCTTCAAATAATCAGATATGAGCAGACTGAATTGTGTTGAGTTCATACAGGAAGAAATATGCTAAAATGTGGCAACATTTATATCAGATACAAAACTTGAAAGTATAAAACAGAGAGGACGAGGACGGGAACAGGACATTTATATCAGGCACACCAGTGTAAACCAAAAGCTCAACAAAAAGGCAATCTGCCTCTCCTTTAGTTTTAGAGTTAACTCTATCAGCAAGTTCTATGAAAAATCATTTGGGCAAACCCCAATACTTTTCTGTTCGACATATTTATTGCATATATTATGGCGCCTACAAGATGTTGTAAAGCACACAGGCAGGATGCTTAACACAGCTAATGCAGACAACACTAAAGGCAATTCACACACCTGCACCCGATTATGTTACGGAAAGACGCGATCACAATCCATTGAGACATCTATGCTTCCCATGTCACGTGCAAAACTACTCTCTGAACTGATTACCAGGCAGCGCCCAAAACACGGATGTCCTGGAGACTCGGTCATAACTTTGCGCAAGTCCTCACAACGTAGTCAAACACTACTCTGTGAATGGGCCTCAACAAGCGTGAACGTCATACTGAAGCTCACTTATTCTTCAACGTAACAGCCTTTTTGGGTAGAGATTTCAAAATGCAACACGATCAATGATGTTATACAGTATAAAGAAAATGCAAAATATGAAACTGGGCAACCTAGCAGATAGCTGCAATAAAAAACATTAAGCACAAAAATATTCTATTCATTATGTACCGGCAAAGAAAGCCCAGATTAACTAAATTCTACGAAAAATGTCCTCGGCATTTGTGGTGGAATAGATCCACGGAAGTTGATGCAACAGGCTTCTAAAAAAGAGAAGCCCCCTCACTTCTAACCTAAACCACATCCGTAAGTTCAAACTCACAGGAACTCCGCGACCCGAGCTCTGGATTAGCAATCGCAACTTCGTGGTCCCATAAATCTTCGAGATCATCGAAGGCACCGACATTACTTATAACAATCTATCGAATCACAAGATGACCCCAGTCAAACCACCAGCAAGGAAAACCAAACTCATACTATATCCCCCAGGATGATGTTCTCATCCCACAAAACTCGCAAAAAAATAATAGTAGATAACTTGAATAAAGAACCATACAGCTTGACAATCAAAAATGCTTGTTGCAAGAGTAAGAAACATTCTCATACTATGTATCCCCAAGATAAAACTTCTGTCCCACAAAACCTGCAAATAAGGAAAGCTCATTTCCATAAAGCGTGTACCTACAGTCAGTTGGAACTCAAGAACGAAGGGCGAGGATGAGACGGGCCGGAAAGGAGGAAGCAGACGGAACACTAAAGAGAGAAGTAGGTTCCCCCTCTCTTCTTCAGCGTTCCGTCTGCTTCCTCCTCCCCGGCCCGTCTTACCTTCGCCCTTCGTTCTGGAGTTGCAACGGACTGTAGGGCCTTACAGCTCGACATCTAAAATGCTCGGCAAATAAACTTCAATTCCGACCGGTCCCGTACACCGTACGACAATGCGGAAAGAAAGCATCGTGGGAAAAATCACTGGTCATGTATCGCCCTGTGCCTTCCCAGCCCGTTCTTCGTCCTGAACCCCAGCGAACACCGGTCGCACTTGTGCACGGCCTCCCTGCAGTGCGTCTTCACGTGGCTCTTGAGGCCCGTGGACTGCGTGAACGTGCGGGGACACTCCGGGCACTTGAACGGCCTCTCCCCCGTGTGGATCCGGGTGTGCCTCACCAGGTCGTCGTTCTGCGCAAACGACTTGGGACAGTGCCCGCACGCAAACGGCCTCTCGCCCGTGTGGGAGCGGATGTGCACCTTGAGGTGCTGCTTCTGCGAGAAAGCGATCGAGCACATGTGGCACTTGTGGGGCCGCTCCCCGGTGTGGATGAGCCGGTGCTTGGTCAGGCTGCTCTTCTGGGTGAAGTGCTTCAAGCAGACGTCGCACTCGAAGGGTTTCTCTCCCGTGTGGGTGCGCAGGTGGGCCTGGAGCGCCGACTTGGACACGAGCCGCGCAGAGCACTGGGGGCAGCCAAAGGGACGCTCGCCAGAGTGCGACTGCAAGTGGCGCCGCATGTTGGCCAGCTTGCGAGTCATGTAGGTGCAGATCTTGCACTGGAAAAGTTTCAGGAGAGGCTTCGGCTTGGCTCGAGCCATCTGCCGTTTTGATCCGGCGTCGGCTGCACCGGGGAAAGGCAAAAATGTGTTTGTTAGAGGGTAAAGACGAAATCAAGGACGCCAGCTTAGACCCTTTTCGAAACCTTGTAAAGACGCACTGCCAGTCGCCATTTCTTGGGCACGAAGCGTGCGATTGGATCCGAGTCCTCGCCAAACGCTGACAAAGCCCTCGTGCCCAATACATGCGCAAAGTATGTGCCCAAACAATGGCCGACTTAGATAAATAAAACAGCAACTACCAGACGGAGCACATTTTTCAAGAAGGGTCTGTTGTGGCATAAACCAGTAAACACGTCCTCGAAAACCACGGCTGCTATACTTTGTTTTGACGTAGCTTAGCGAAGAGTAAAAGCTATGGCCCAGTGAGCCAACTAGAGTGGCGGAGCAAAGCGTACGACTGCTCTCCAAAGATGTGAAGTTACATGTCACGCTCTGATGGGCTCACTGGAAACACAGCTTCGGCAGCTTGCCAAGTTTCCCAAAAACAGTGTTTAGAGGCACTAAGAAGTAAAGAGGTATTGTGCAAGGCTCACCCGAAACAAATATGCACGCAATTATAACGAAGTACCAGTGCGTACAAAATAATTTTTGTTTTGCATAAGACGGCACACCATGAATTGCCCCGACCCACATAAGGAGGATCTTCCAAGTCAAAGGACCCTTCCCGGTCTTGGCATTGGTGCAGTAAAGCGGTGCAAGAGCTAACAGACCTCGTAAACAATAATTCACATACCAGACATGTATGTAATGCACTAGTTACTTATACCTAGTTACTGTTTGCGGTAACGAGTAACGTGTTTAGTTACTTTTTTACAAAAAAAACAGTAACATAGTTATTGTTAAGGCGAAACCACGAGTAGCGGTATTTTGTTACTTTTGAGGAGTAAGATGTACAACGTTTGAACAGCCTCGTTTTCATCCGAACCTTAGTACACGTCTACAGTGACAAAGGCAGATGGGCAACCCGAAAAACAACTAAACAGAATGACAGTATAGCAACGTTTATCGCTGAGCATGTCAGTCAAACTCTACAGCTGGGAATGAATGTCATTCACCTACAGAACACAATAAGGTTCGTTGGTTGAACCTTCTAGAATCGTGTACAGACTATATGTAAACCCGTAGGTTGCCAACACGGGAATGCATATAGCTCACTGTCAACTAGGAAGAAACAGAGAGAAAAGAGAGAAGGGAATCCCAGATACACCAGCTCTTTCTGAAGCACAACACTGCCGTTCCTTCGAGTGCGTCAGCAAAACGACTCTTCAGCGTCGCCCGAGACGCAGCGGGGAAACATTACTGATGAAAACTTTGAGCAGCAGCTACTGCTTAAACGCAACGACTACTAAAAAGGAACCTGTATAAACCGTGAAAAAAAGAGCAATTGTGTATTTGGTCGTCAAAGTAACGAGCAAAGTAACTTGCTACACTTACTATTTGTACAAAAATTCAGTCTCCTGACACAAAAAGGAAAACTCTTTCTCAGCTAAGTGCACGCAGCTATCCTCGCCCTTTACTCTAATGCAGTAGGCCTCAAACAATTCTCTCTCAGTTTTGTTTTTTAGTTTTCCAACTATTTTTTGCTTTGTCAAGATTAGGCGCGCACGGACACCTATCATAGTGAATTGCTAGATTACCTGATGGGGAACTTCTAACAGATAAGGCATGCTTGCGTGCCCCATCGTTGATGCACCTCCCCGTTTGCCCTATATACTATGCTTTTCCACAAGTCATAGGTATTTCGTAAACAACTGACGTTGCGCATTCAATGTACTCCGCAACGTCCTCGTTCCTCGTGTCCTAGTTTTTAGGCGCTTCACAAGTTAAACATGTACCAACTAGCCCACCTATCCATTTTACTGTAATGCATTTGTTTTGAGTGAGTAATGTGTTCAGTTACTTCTTGAACGAGTAACCGTATTTACGGTAGTTACTTTTTGAGGGTAACGGTATTTAGTTACTTTTTTGGGGTAATGTGTACATGTCTGCCACAAACCAAGAAGTGTTTGAAACGTAGCTACGCATCAGTAGATGGCTCGGATTTTCTACAATAGTGCTTACGCTGGAAAAACACTTTACTTAGGGGCAAAGATGGCTGCGTATATTTGGAAATTGAGAACCCCTGAGGATACTCTGAAGACCCCAGTTTCAAAACGCACGCTCCAAGAGGTCAGCCTCAGCCCGAGGGGTTTAAATGCTGGGTTCTCTTCTTCGTATCAAGTACAGGTGCACATTTCACATAATGGTTTCATTAAACACACTGCAAAAATGCCGATTCCAGAGTCGAGATGCACCCTTCTCGATAAACTTAAAACAATGTAGATTGAAACAATTTCGAAGTACTGAGAGCATTTCAAAGGTGTCAGTGAAGCTGTTCATGAGCACGGAAAATAAACAAATGAATAAATTAATGAAACGGCAATCACAAACAGTATGCACAAACATAATGTATTAATGGAGAAAATTCTGCAGCTCGACAAAAGATTCTCGCAACGTCTTCACACCAAGAACATCTAAACCAAACAAAAAAATTGTAAAGCAGTGGTTTTTGTTTTTTCTTACATAAGCTAAAATTAACAGTGGATAAAATTAAGGAACATAAAAATCAGAATTTCAGAGAGATGCTATAGCAACCTCGCTGTATTGAACTCAGAGTCACCATATAGTACTCATATGGGACTGTGAACTGTTACTCAATGACTCAAGCACAGAGTTAAAACTTAAATGCATTTGCTGCAGTAGGCTCGTCGGCCCACAAGGTCGTGCGCACCAATGACTGTTGGCATGCATTCGTCATACAGAGTCCATCAAAGTCGGTGAGCACACAACGAATGCAAAACGTCTCCTACTGAAAGACAAAATTATGACACGAGTCGAAATAAATCGACGGGCCCCTCACTCGAGGCACAAAGTAATCTACATTGACACAGCTCTTTGGTTAACGAGCTTACCAGCTCCTACGAATATGGAAAGCCTACAAGCCGCCTGGCTAAATCTCGCACGCAAAGCCTAAAGAAAGGAACGCTTGGCCAGTACCCATGCACCAATGAACAGCTTAACAATGCTTGAACTGAAACAAAGTAGAAAGGAAGGAATGTTTGGTCAGGCACCACACATCAAAGATTAGCTCAGCAATGCTTGAACCGAGACAAAGCAGAAAGAAAGGTCCGTTTGGTCCGTAATCACGAGTCGGGATTAGCTCGGCAACGCTCGAACTGGGACACCACTTCATCTAGGGGGTAGGTGCCCAAGAAATCCCTGGAGGTGCTACTCCGACCAATCCTCGGGTTCCTAGGACCCAAGTTTTGAGAAACCACGAAGTACCAGACATCCTCTTCTTTCCCCCTTTCAGCTCGGATGCCCAAAAAAGCAGCGATGTGGTCTCGGCGAATGAATCGGAATGCTCCATAACGATAATACCACACGTGGCACCATGAACAGACATTGGCAGCGGCACAAGTTTGTTCTCGTCGCCGACTACACACACAATTTTTCGCTTCGAAACCATGTTTGGTGCGTCACTTTCGACAAATGCCCGATATCCCCCCCCATGCATTCCGCAGACAGTGAGCCTAGGGCCTGGCAGCCCGGTGGCAAATGCGGCGGTGATACGAAAGATTGCACGAACGAAAGAATGTCCGCCGGCAGTAGGCGCACTCGAAAGGTGCTTCGCCCATGTGGCAGCGCACGTGCGACACAAGGTTGTGAGACCGCACCTCAGCGTGGCACTGAGGACACCTGAATGTTTTCCCGGTCTCGCCACTTGCGTGAGTGTTGAGGTGCTTCAAGAGAGCCTGTCTGGACGCAAACTCCGTCGGACAGAGGCAACACCTGTGCGTCGTGACCTCCGTGCGGGTGAACATGTGGCGCAGAAAGTCGACCTTGGCAGTGAAGTGGTTGCCTTGGAAGAACTGGCCGGAGGAGCCGTGGGTCTTTGTGTGAATGCTCATCTCGGTGATTGTGCGGGCGGTAAAGCTGCAGGAGGTGCATCGGATTGGCTTGGCTTTGGACCGGGGCCTGAACTTGATCTTGGCTATAGAAAAGGAACAGTTTTTTTTTACCACGATAGCGTAGTGTCGCAAAAAATTCGGCGTTAGCGGGACCAAAAAATTCTATAATGAGACGTGCACAGCCACGTGTGACGTCACACGTGGCTGTGACGTCATGATCCTATCAAACCGCTAAATTTGGCAGAAAACTTTTCCGCTAAATTTAGAAGAAAATTTTCGAGCCAAATTTAGCGGAAAATTTTCCCACAAAATTTTGCGGCAAAATTCAAATGGAAACATGTGACATCATGTGACATTCAACCTATCGACTAGACCACGCACAAGTGCTCGCGGTTTGTGAACAAGCGAGGGTTTAATGAGAAGCTTTTAAGCTTTTAAAGGCAAAGCTTAAAGGGGTACTCCAGCGACTTTTTAATCTACCTCAACTAACTATATTTTCTGACTCCCCGGCCTTTACCCTTTCCGGTATGCTATCTAGTATCACGAAATTCATAATAGTTATTGCGAAATCGGCGAAAGAAAATGATGCAAAAATTAACATTCAAATATACCCGCACTTTTCAGTGCCGTGACGTCAGTGGCGGGCAGGCTTGCCAGTCGAGCGAACAGTCTAAAAAATAGAATATGCCAATCATTTGTTCCATGCTGGAGTGAGCTTCCAAAGCATTCATTTGACACCATAAAACTGCTTCGAATCAGTTGGGAACAAATTCTACAGTCCAAAGAGTGAACCCCTGCACTTCCACTTACGTCACGTTTTCGCTGTTGCCAGTAGAGACTTTCAGTTTGAAAAACACGGTGAGGACCAAAACTGTAAATTCAATAACTTTGTGAAAAAAAAAAATTTATTTTAACCTAATATTTGGGATACTATTTTAGCGATGTTGTTTGGTGAGTTTAGCAAAATTTCAAACAAATCGGGGACCATGAAGAAATCGCCGGAGTACCCCTTTATGCGTTCCCCAAAGTTTTTTTGTTTGTCTTTTTCTTTTTAGTTGTAGCTTTTTTTTTTTCGCAAAATGGGTATCTAGTTTGCAGTAGTGACATTCAGTTAAGTGCCATTTAATTATACAACTGTTCAAGGTACATCATGCTCAAATGTGCCAAAAGGGGAACTCCGGCAGTTTTTTGAGCTACCCAAACTTAACACATTTTCGAAATACCCAGGCTTTTTTCTTCCCGGCACGCAATTTATTCCCTCTGAATTCAGAATAGGCATTAAGAAAATGACAAATAAAGGTGATCCCAAAACCAACGTTCAAATATTCCTACTCTCTTCAGTGGGGTGACGTCACGTGTCATATAACTTGCAAGTTGAGCAGGCAGTCTGAACAAAAGCGGCATTTTGTGCATGCTTTTTTTTTCGTTTTGAGGGAGCGAGCCTAACCAGCAGTCATTTCGCAGCTTCAAGCTTCTTGTGAACCATCAGAAACAAATTGTTACATCTGACATCACATTTTCAGTGTTGCCTGTAGAGCCCCTCAACCTTTTGGACCAAATATAAAACTTCAATAGCAATTTGTAAAAAAAAAATCAATTGTTGCTTGGGTTACTAATCCAGATGTGTCTATTGATGTGCTGAACCAATCTCGAGGCAAATCGGTGACTATTGAAATTTTGCTAGAGATCCTCTACAAGTACTTATAATCACATAAACTCTACAATGCAACTGGTTAACAATCAACACTCTAGATTAGCCATATCAGAAATGTAGACGCGAGACATGCTGACACTCGACAGCCTCATTTCTGAATTGTTAATTTGAAGAATATTGCCAACTAAGCCTCGATGCAGTCAACTGAGCGCGCTGATCAAAAGCACAAAAAGTAGTAAACGATGTGTACACATGTCTAACCGCACCACTGAAGGGGGAAATATTAAGACACAATGATGAGGATGTTGAACAGTGTTCAAGTGTCTTGCAGAAAACAAAACACCATGAGTGTGCACACAGTCATTTGTTTGTCTGTTTTAAAAATTAAAAGGATTAAGGATGCGCACATACAGAATGGTACACCATAAAAGGGAACACTGGAACGTGTGGCTGGTGCTCCGTGCAGCTCCGGCTCCAAGTGCTCGTGGAAGCTCGGCGCAGATGCAGTGAGCACCAGAGGTGGTGCTCACTGCGTCGTCTGCAACTGCAAGCTACAGCGCAGATGTGGTGTGGTGCAGCAGCTGTCGATGCGCAGTACACACCGCCCATGGTGCTCGCTGCGACTGCACTAAACATCCGCAGGTGCCTGCAGCCGGCACTATACGGAGCACCAGCCATGCATTCTGGTGTTCCCTTTAAGACTGAACCACTCTGTACACACTTTCTATGTTTCTAACAACTCCAGATATCCATAGCATACAACACGCTCAAAAAGTATAGCAGTCCGTGAACATGGCACAAACTATGTGGTGAGCATGGCAACCAGAAAATCCAAGCACTGCCACCACACTTTCTAAATTCAATAAAACAAGTATGTGTGTATGATTAGAAGCCCAAAACTTGGCAAGGGGTAAGGGCTGTCCTTTCTCGTGTTTTCTGCCCAAATGGAATGACACTGTCCAGACACCAGTGCAGTTAGAAATTTCAAATGCACAATCTTGACACAGGCACCGAACCCGTCGTGTAGTAACTTCCGCAGACTGCCATTATCTCAACTTCGTGGTCCTCGAGCATCGGCCCTTGGTTCTGAAAGAAAACAGTGTATGAACACAGCCCTTGACACTAAAGTAGTTTTCCAGGCTTTTTTCACTCATAATGTAAATAGAAAAGTTAATAAATTTCAAATTAAACACTCTGCCCTACTTACAAAGCTAGAGACCAATATGTCAAGCTCTCAACCACTCAAGTCTACCTCTTCGCAACCTCATCACAGCATTCTAGTTTGTTTCATCCCAACCTTGCAGTTACTCATAGACACTGAGAATTCCAAATGTGCAGCTCCCCCACATTGGATTGTACAATTTACTATTCTTGGAATGAATAAGCATCACACTTTAATTAAGGCCCCATTCCAGTGGATCTTTCTTTGAAAAACTTCACTCTTTCACTTCACATTTTGACAAATTTGTGCACGGGGTAGATTGTTGGTTTGACGTGCACATTATTCTGGTCTTGCAGACAAGTTGACATTAGCGCATGTCCATTTAAGTTTCATGTCTTTCTACTCAATACAATTTTGTGAAAAATTATCTAAAAAAAAGATAGCGATATTGCTCTGTCATTTATTAAAATGTCACAATAAAGCACGAAACTGAAAGCCAGTCTAGAGCTGCGCTATATCTGCACGAGGTCACCCCCAATCAAAAACGGAACCACACGAGCCAATCCTCCTCTTCAGACGAGAAGCCCTGCAAGACATACAGACGGGTCACAACATAAACAACCACAGAATGAGCCCACTGAAAGAGCATTCTCCAGATCTTCCCCTGCTTTTTTTTTTACAATAACTTATAGCACAACTTCCAGAATCTAAAACTTTCCCGTTTTCAGGATGTCGTACCACAACCCAGCCTTACATTCAAGCCTCGTAAGGGCCACACAGTCAAATCAAAATATTTACGAATATCAACGTGCATCAAAAACGGTGACAAAACAATAAATGCCTCTTGTGCTTGTCATCATTCTCGGAGACAGTGGCAAGCACATGGGAAGACGGTTGCAAGGCTTCTACCGGCTTGGGAGCATGGCGTTTCCTGACAGCATCAGGACCATATAGGTTACTGAGGCGAGGCTACCTTGCAATGCCAGCATCGAGGCAACTTGGTGGCACTCTAGGCATTTTTCAGTGATTGTTAAATACTATCAAACTTTGTCCTGCTGTATCACGTGTACTCCCTACTACCATGCCTGTCTGAGAAAACATTCAGGAGTACTATTGTGCGGCACTTGATTGAATCATGCATCACAGAATGCCCAAGTTTTCGTGCAAGGTAGTCCCAACAGCGAAGGCAGGATATGAATGTTTCAGTCCCATATGGTAGGCATCTGTGTTTTCAAAGTATTTTGTTTGTTTGTTTTCGAATCCGGGGGTGTTTTTTTTTATGGGTTCATTCTTTCCTACAGATCCAGTATTTTTTGTGTAAATTGATTATGACTTAAACCAATTTCCATAAAAACACAGAATCTGTGGGAAAAATTAAACCATGAAAAAAAAATATACCCCCAACTTCGAGAAAAAAAAAAATAAAAATTGAAAACACGGAACCCTACTAATATGCTACTTTGACCAATAAGAAGAAATTTCTTGAATATCTAGGTGAATGAACGCTGTTAAAGTCAAATTAGCCGTCTCCGCTTAGTTTCCATCCAAGTGTAGCTAGAGACACATATGGGTAGAGACCAAGCACTCGGCAATGCATTGTTCACTCTCGCAATTAAAAAAGAATTGCTGAGATCTTTTTTGGGGGGACATGCTGTTTACAATTTCTACTTCCAAGCATCTGTATGCAGTTATAGAAGTCACAAAACAGTTAGCGAACGCTCTATTATATGCCGTATCATTTGAAGCACAAGCGTAGCAGAAGCTACAAGAGTGAGCTCCGGCGTATCAACGTCCCCGCCAAACACGCACACTCGAGCAGTGAAAACAATGTTGAAAGCAACATGCTCATGCTCACAACCTACTGTAATCCTGACCCCACGGAAGAGTGCCAACACACAGGAAGTGGCCACAGTGCTCCATCACGCTATGACTGTTTCTCAAACATTGATATTTCCCGGACCTCTTGTGGATCGGCGGAGATGATGGAGGACGCCGTTAGTGGTGAGGGGAGGGAAATCCGTACTGTTATATTGCTCTCTTGATGGCACGCTGTCGCAATATGCGATAGGCACAGGCTGAATTCTGCCCAGTCAGGGAAGCATAAGCGCTTGTCTGGAGCAGATATGATCGGCTGCACCGACGAGCAAACGGCTCTCTCCATCTGGCTGCCGGACAATAAACACATCCAGAACAAAAAAAAAAAAGAAGAAGAAGAGCTGATGTCTTTCATCGGGTTAGTGAGTTATTACCCATTTGGTTGAGAATTAATTTTGATTACTGACCATCGACCACTCACATGGTTACACCAGCTGTCCCAGAAAAATGGTCGCTTGTTGCGATGGAGCTTGACGCTCCAGGAGAATTCTTTTTTAGTCAGGCATAAAAAAGAAAAATTTCACACTAACGCCAATTTCTTGAGCAGGGCGCATAGATGACTGCCCAGTTCGATTCTCTTTCTCTCAGCTCATTTGCACATTTGTAAATATTCTCATCATCTGCATTATCTTCACAAATATTTCTGCCACACCGGGTATAATATTTCGAAGTCTGGTTGCATAGTTGGGTAGTTAAAAAATATCAGAGTTAGAAAAATGCTCTCGGTGAGTCTGGGCACTTCGACTGTCTCTGTAGTCCTCTGGTTGTTGTTGGCCTCCCCATTTGCCCAGAGATAAACCATCGGCGCAGTGGTCAGGCAGACTCTTTGCACCGACGGCGAATGCAGCACGATCTGCCGCTCGTCCAGGTTCTTCCCCGTGACCCTGGCGAACGGATTCAAGGGACGCCATCATCACATCACCCTCCACACCTTGGGCAGCATGGTCACTCGTCGTCAGGCCAGTC